CCCCCCCCATAAATGTACATTAAAGTATTCGTGGGTGTGATAACGCGCCGAAAAACCCCGGTTCAACTCTTCTCTCTGTATATTCACCAGGTCCAGTACACTCTGCCGATTGAGCTATATAGCTGTAAAGACCTATAATAGCTCTATTGACCTATCTGAAATAGGTCTTTTGAGCTATTTTCAAGTGATTTTCTTTTTTAAGGAAAACGAAACAATGTCGCTTTTAAAAGAAGATTGTATCATTAGGTTGATAACAAAAGACATTAAATATAAGGATTCTTTTTATAAAATAATGATGTAAAAAAAATCGGAAATTTTACATTTATGAAAAATGAAAATAAACATCTAACTGTATGCTTTTTGTAGTCAACATTACCATAAACCTTATTGTTTTATGCTTTAATTTAATGAAAATTGAAATCTGAGAAAATATAGCTCAATACAGCTATAATGTATAGGTGTATATAGCTATATAGGTCTTAATATCTATATAGCTCAATCAGCACAGTGTACTGGACCTGTTCACACTGGCTAATTTAACAAGTTGCATTATATGTGTAAACGAACATTTTCAGGTTCATCATTAACTGTCATACCGCAGACAAGAGGCTGAAATTCTGTCATAAATTAATAATTCATTAGGAATACCACTGAAGGGGGCCATGGGATCGTGACCCTCTAAACTGAAATTGACCCCTCCATGCTCCAATTTTCTTTTTAATTTTAATGTAGAATGCATGGCCCCTCTTAATTTTGATATGATTTTATTCAAAATTGCTGAAAATGGCCCTGACTGCTCTAAAATACCAGGATTTTCCCAGTTACATGATAATGTAACAGTAATAAAAAAAACTATGATATGCTTCAGAAAATGATTACAATAGGTTTTGTTATTTGGTGTTTTCAATTTGTGACAGAATTTCAGATTCCTTTGTTCGCATCTGAAAATTAATATATGTTGCTTTGAATGACAAGTTTCCGTGCCCTTAATGAGAAGATTGCCGAAAAATGAGAAGAGCAAAATTAAATTTCATTCACATTGTTTTAATAACATTTAGTCTTTAATTTTACTTCAGTAGTCAGTTTGCGATCACTTCTATTTCCCCTTCTCTAGATCTGCAATGACAACTTAAGTCAACCCCATTAAATTTTGACGCAAAATAAACAACAAGTTTGCACTACAAAGTTTCTGTTTCTTTCTATCTATAACAAGATTGAAACAGAACATCAACTGAGAAACTGCTATGGTGCAAAAAAATATCGAAAAGTAAAGTGGGAAAAATTGATTTTCAACTTGAATACATATCTCCTTCATTTTAGATAATAGCTGTTGCTAAATGTTTTGCATGTGATAAAGTTAAAAAAAAATGTCGTCCAACCCAACCATGTGACAAGTCACATTATTTTGGTAAGCAGATTACAAGGAGCTGTGTTATGCAATTTTCACATTGAAAATTGACCTTTTCCAGGTGTGTTTCTATATTATTATAATCTAATAAAAAGTAAATAGCAAAAACAATAAAAGAAAAAAAATCTACAGCCATTTAAGTTAAAAAAGTATAAACTGACTTGTTATTGTGCCTCAATATTCCGAAGTGTAAAAGAATTGTTTACCTTTTCTAGTACTAATTACTGATGATGTCGACAAACTTCCGGTCTGCTTGCAGCTATGAACAAATTATCAGGTCAAAGAAACTGGATCTAGACCTCTCATGATATTTAAGTGTTATTGAAATGATGGGTTTTCAACCAAGTATAATATATTCTTTTAATAGTTAGGGTATCATCAATCCCTGATAGGTGGGATTGTCCCTTGTTTTTGAGACACAAACTAATTTATATCCTTAAACTTTTCATTTTACAGGGATGGACGACAGAAAGCTGTTGATTTTATATGGAAGTCAGTCGGGGACGTCGCAAGATGTTGCAGAAAAAGTGTACAGGGAGGCCAAGAGGAGACATTTTGCCACAAGAGTGATGTCTCTTGATTCTTACACAGTGGTAAATCTTTGTTGCTCAAATATTTCTCACAAGTTATAGGGTAATGATTTTGACATTTTGATAGCTGATGCAGTATATTTCTAGGACAAAATATGTACATGTTTCTTAACAAAGGTACAAGTCGGAATTTAGAGGTCTCATAAAGTATACAATATGGTTTATTTCCAAACAGGCAAACCTGTTACAGGAGGGGCTGGTAATATTTGTGTGTGCCACTACAGGACAAGGGGACCCCCCCGACAATATGAAGGTAAGTGTTGGCAGACATTGCTATCCTATAGCTACTGGTGAGTCGGTGTATGTGCAAGAGATTTTATACCCCACCATCTTTGACATTGATCTATAACTTGAGGACATATGTATGTATTGATATATATATCTAACAGGAAAATTGCATGGCCAGACCAGGATTCGAACTTGAGACCCCCAAACTCTAGATGAACACTCTAACCAATTGAGCTACTTAGCTTGGTTGCTGGGGATCAACCCAGTCTAGTTCCTCTACACACATAAATTACATTTTATGCATGTAGGTGTTTTTCAATTCAAACAGCTCTAGAATATCTAATGAACTTCATTGGTCTTATATTTGCCTATCATATTTTTTCTCTGGGTGTAAGAATTTTTATTCTAGGCCTAAAATATAAATAAGGCTTATAGCATGTAATGAGTAAGGAACAATATGTTGTCTGTTCTCAAAACAAAAACAAGTTTTCCATTTTGATGCAGATGGATCAGTATGGATATATATATATATATATATAATGTCTAATAAATGATAACTCTTGTTTTCTGCGTCTACATGAAGTTCTTACTGATGATTTGTCTGTTTCAGTTATTTTGGAGATTTATTCTGAGAAAAAACCTTCCGTCAAATTCTTTGGTCAATCTCAAGTATGCTGTTTTAGGATTAGGTGACTCATCCTATCAGAAGTAAGTACCAGTTATTAAATTGAAAGTTTCATATATATTTTTTTTCAAAACCTGAAGATTTCTTACCAGTTCATCATGTGTCCTCTAATCCACCACATGAATGTGCGATTGTTGCTGGGAGTTTTCTTGATGCACCTTTTTCTGTATGATTGATTTTGTTTTTGCAGGTTCAATGTGATAGCCAAAAAACTATTCAAGCGTATTCAGCAACTAGGTGGCCAGAGTCTGGTCCCTGTGGGTCTGGCTGACGACCAACACGACCTTGGGTAATGTTCATTTCTTACAATTTACTTTCTCACAATCTGTTTTAAACATTCAAGTGACATTATTTTTCGATAATAGTCAATTAACTTCTACAATTATTCACAGGTAACAAATATCATTTTCAATCCTTTTCATTAATCTTATGAGAATTTGATGTAAAGTGGTCACAATATATAATATTTTATTGTATTTGTTACTTTTCACAGGCCAGATGCAGTTATCTACCCTTGGTTGACTTCTCTATGGAATCAGGTCCTCAGTCTTTCCCCCCTTCCCCCAGGATTGGAGATAATTCCTGGTCATATAAGGTAACACAGATTTCACATATGTTGTGAATGTCCAGTTAAGTACATACCGGAACAACAATAAACCAACCTCAATCTTCTCAAAAACATTCCATGTAAGAATAGAGCTGCTCTGTCAAATATTCTACTGCTTAAAAATAAAACCAATAAAAGCATAATCCTATTTATGAAATGAATCATTGAAATGGCAGATGGAGGATAGAGCCACCCCTACCCCAAGACCTCAAGGAGGGGGTAACAAATGAAGTTCTGGAGTTCGGTTCCCCTCCTTTTAGTGACTGAGTATGCCACTGACTAGGTCTTGCATTTATATAAAATCAGATGCATTTTGTTAGGATCTTTGCTGAAATCAAACATAGAAGGCATCTATGTATTGAATGTCTTCTTTTTTAATCTCAAGTTGTTAACTTTTCATTTATGGCTTTATGCACATATTCTTGATTTATACTAATTGTGAGTAACATTTTGTAGTTGTAACAGTCACTTGGTACTGACTTTGCTATAGAGAAGATTTCTAAAATTTCGGTCATTAGAACACTGGGTTGTTCTTTGTTCAATTTATGTTGTGATACTGACTGCAATTTTATAGAAAATTTTAATATAGGTCCCAATCCAGTACTTCTTGTCCCGAGTCCAAAGTAGCATATCCTAGCAAAGGATGTATTACAAATGTAGACCTCGAAGTTTGTTATGTCATTATTGCATGATCAGTATCTAAAAATCAGTAAATGGATTTTTGTTTTCTTATTTCAAACAGACCACCTCCAAGATACAATGTGCTATTCTCTGAGGAGTCCAGCAAAGTTCCAGATCTGTCTGTGTTTAGACTTGGTAACCAGGGAAACAATGCCTACAGCCAATCAAATCCATTTTATGCACGTTTGATATCAAATAACAGAGTTACAAGTGAGGACCATTTCCAAGATGTCCGCCTGGTGCGACTGGATATTCAGGGTTCAAATATCAGGTACTCGTAAAATTGATATTTACGTGTTAAAATTGTTCTTTTTAGCCCACCATCATCAGCTGGTGGGCTTTTCAAATCACCCTGCGTCCGTGGTCCGTCATTCCACCCGTCCGTCCTTAACCAATTCTTTTTAGCGCTATTTCTCAGAAAGTACTGGAGGAATCTTTATCAAATTTCACATATAATAATAATAATAATAATAATTGGAGGTTCTGATATACCTCTTTATCACAACCTAGTTCGTCTCAAAGTGGTTCACAGATTATTATCCGTGGTTATAGGGCCTTGGCAACCAGCCAATACATTTCTCAACTCCCTGGGGAGCATACAGCTGGAGCTGCCATTTCGGCGCTTACAGCTAGCATTCAACAATTCTAGCACTGCCCAACCACGTACTCATTTACAGCTGAGTAGACTGGAACAAGCAGAGTAAAGTATCAACTCATTGCCGTGCCGTGGCGCGAACCTGCAACCATTCGGTCACGAGCCTGGCGTCCTACCACTGGACTACCGTGACTCCATACCGTAGGTCCCCCATGATCCCTTGTTATGCATATTGTTTTTTGGGACTGATTGCAAAACCAAGATGGCCGACAGGCAGCCATCTTTAATTTGAAAATCATAGTTTGTTAGCGCTCTTTATCAGAATGATCTGGACATCTTTCTCAAATCTTACATGAAGGTCCCTCATGATCCCTAGTTACGCATATCTTATTTTGGGACAGATTGCAAAACCAAGATGGCCGACAGCCAGTCATCTTGAATTTGAGAATGAAAGTTTGTTAGTGCTATTTACCAGAATTTATCAGAAGGATCTTTCTCAAATTCAACTGAAGGTTCCACATGATCCCTAGTTATGCATATCGTTTTTTGGGACTGATGGTAAAACCAAGATGGCTGACAGCCAGCCATCTTGAATTTGAAAATGAAAGTTTGTTAGCATTATTTCTCAGAATGTTCAGGTGTCTTTCTCAAATTTCACATGCAGGTTCCCAACGGTTCCTAGCTCCACATTTTGAATTTTAGGGATGATTGGAAAACCAAGATGGCAGGTCTCATTGAATTTGGGAGTAAAAGTGTTTAACCATATTGCCCAAAAAGTCTTGGAGGGATCTTTCTCAAATTTCACATGAAGGTTCCTCTTGTTCTTAGTTATGCATATCAAATCATATTGGTCGGCCGTCTTGTTACGGTTTAAGTTTGTTATCGCTGTTTCTCAAAATTTACTGGAGGAATTTTTCTAAAATTTGATATGTAGGTTCTCCTTGGTCCTAAGTTGTGCATGCTCAAAATATTGATTAAGATGGTGGATAGGCGAACTGATTGAACAGATAAGACAAAAGAAGAGAAAATATCAAACTGACTTAGAACTAATGAAGATGGTACTATGGTGCGCCCAAGATCCCTCTGGGATCTCTTATTAAAGGTTAGAATGATAAAAAAGTTAAGGATGGATGAGAAAAGTCTCGACGTTTTGAGACCTGTATACAGATGAGCTTTGACAATCAATCCCCACCCATTCTTAGTAGATCATCTGGTCATTTCCATTCCTATAATAATCTAGTCACATTTATTACTTCTGGGAAAGGGCTTTACATAAGTTGGACAACTTGTGCCCAATCCCTTTTGTATATTAGATGCAAATAAAAATATGTTTAAAAAAGTTACTTCATCCAAAGTCGAATTATCCTGCCACCTTCCTTCCTTACAATAGTGGCTAGTTAGTGAGACAGCTGAATTTCTTAATCCAGTCTGTCTTCTAAAACAATGACTTTATAGTGGGGAGGTAAGATGAGTGTTGGCTTGATAGTGGGACAACCAGGCAAGTTGTGGCCAGATATTGGGACAACCAGATTAGTGGTGTCTGGATATTTGGACAACTAGATTATTGGTGGCTGGTTAGTGACACAGATAAGTGGTGGCTGAATAGTGGGACAACCAGATTAGTGGTGGCTGAATAGTGGCACAGATAAGTGGTGGCTGTATAGTGGGACAACCAGATAAGTGGTGGCTGAATAATGGGACACCAGATTAGTGGTGGCTGAATAGTGGGACACCAGATTAGTGGTGGCTGAATAGTGGCACAACCAGATTAGTGGTGGCTGAATAGTGGCACAGATTAGTGGTGGCTGAGTAGTGACACAGATTAGTGGTGGCTGAGTAGTGGGACAACCAGATTAGTGGTGGCTGAATAGTGGCACAGATAAGTGGTGGCTGAATAGTGGGACAACCAGATAAGTGGTGGCTGAATAGTGGGACACCAGATTAGTGGTGGCTGAATAGTGGGACAACCAGATTAGTGGTGGCTGAATAGTGGCACAGATTAGTGGTGGCTGAATAGTGGGACAACCAGACTAGTGGTGACTATAGGTAGTGGGACAACCAGATTAGTGGTGGCTTGGATAGTAAGATTACCAGTGGTGGCTGTATTGACTAGCCCCAACCCTATAAACCTACATCAAACAACACAACTTGGACCTGTTATGGATGTGTTGTAACTCATTAGGTTTCCCGATTACCTTAGTCTGTTACACAGAAATCAGTACAGAAGGTCACTGTTGAAAGCCCTGTTATACAGGTTTCCTGATCATAACTACACCAGTTCAGTTTATGTCGACGGTCACAGCAGCTCTAGTTGAAAGTCTGGTTTATAGAAATTTCAGATTATATAGAGTTTGGTTAAGGATATATGTTACCTTTCTTTGTCCTTTCCAAAAGTCAAACGAGTTCTTTACTGAGAATTTATAGTAAGATCATGTAAGATGAGTGATGACATGGATTTGATTAAAGAATGACGCATAACAAATTAATACAAACATTACTAATGATAAAGTTGTTCTTACACTTAGAAACAAAAAATATATAACCCTGCCACATATATATAATAGTTTTGTAAGGTGTGCTTTATCATATACATGTAGGTATAAGAGTGGTCAGGGGGCAAACTCACTTTTCACTTAAAGGCAGTCAGTTTCTTTTCCCCGTCTAGATGTGAAAAGTTATGGGGTCATCATATGGGTTTTCTCTGGGTACTTGGGTTTCCTCCCACATTCACTCCCTCTGCCTCCTACCATCGGGGGAGGCCAACAGAATGGATTCATAGATGTTGATCAAACTGGTTCCACTTCTATTGTAAAATAAGCTAAATTTTTAATACAGGTGTTCAAAATGTATCCTTCAGATGTGTTCTACTTTATAAGCACTGCCACTATTCATGCAAATATATATAGCCCTCTGAAGTTAAGATGGCATTCATATCAGTTATAAATTCCTTTGTTATATGATGACATCATTGTAATGTTGGGTACCACTTAGCCTCCATTTAAGGTGGCTTTTCTATTAATTAAACAAGCATGCATGCTATGTATACTAAAGCTAAATGCTGATATGAATAAATTTCATTTTCTATAAAATTGAAGTATTTTGAAAATGGTAAAAACAAGTACAAAATGCATGGCACAGCTTTCACTTGGCATTCATAGTCAATATGAATGCCAAATGCATTATGACAAATTCAACATCTTGTGCAAGCTTTATTATCATAATATGCTTGTCAGGTTCTGATGTTAAAAAAATTGTTGTGAATGTATGTTAAAGTATTAATTATTTTTAATTTATATGATTAAATATTCAGTTTCTCCCCGGGAGATGTTGTCTCATTAGCACCACGGAATTCTCAGGAAAGTGTAGATGAGTTTATACAACACATGAAGCTCTCACCAAATACCCTGTTCACTCTACAGCAAAATGATCCAGGTACGAGACAGCAGTGCTACAACGTTTAGTACACATATCATTTGTTGACATTTAATATTGTTACCTAAAATTTGCGGGTATAGTGCGCACTCAGGTATAGTGCGCAGGTACGTTTTTGTGGTCAGATTTGAAAAGAAAGATTTTTTTTTAAAAATAAATGATTTTTTTTAAAATATATTTTTTGGGGAAAAAAATCTGAAAATTACCGGTATCAAACTGGAAAAGTAGCAATCAAAGGTAGCTTGGTGTTTGTAACACCGATTAATTAACTCATTCTCATGTATGATATAGAGCTAAGAATGGACCAAAAGAGGTATATAACATGTTAAAATGTCGTCAAATGTTTTAAGCTCTGTCAGTGTGATCGTTATTTTGAATTTATTCTTCCAAACAACAGTTTCAATAGCTTTAATATTTCATTTACTGCTCACACTGTACGGCAACCTGATTGAAATCATCTGTTGCATGGCTTCGTTTACATTGTACTACGACTGAACAGGCATATATTACAAAGTTTCCGAAGCCATGTCTTTAACTCATTCACCCCTGAAAATTCATAATGAACTATTCCAACCTTTGAATTGGAAGAGTTAAAATGTGTATTCTAAATTTACTTTATTGCATTATTATATTTGATAGAATCTATGTTAAAATTATGGAAACTTTGGAATTCCATTTTTAGGACAGTGCATATGATATGTCCACGTGCAATCATATTAACCTCCCCTTCCCTCTGGGTTGTGTTGGATTTCTGAGAGGAAATGTGATGGATTGCATTGATAATGTAACAAACCAACAGATGAAACAAAAGGAAAATAATCTCCTAGTTATAATGAAAAGTGTTCCTGCAGCATCTTGTTTTGTAAGCTCTAAATGAATAACAATGTGATACTGTGTTTCAGATATACCTCTGCCCTTCACCCTTCCTCACCTATGTACTGTGAGCTATTTACTCCAACATTACCTGGATATCAACTCAGTGCCACGCCGTTCATTCTTCGAACTTCTTGTCTACTTCGCTGATAATGAGTTAGAAAAGGAAAAGCTTGAGGAATTCTGTACAGCTGAAGGACAGGTACTTATAACAATACCAAGAAAAGGTGTAATGGCTATCATAACCCTTAAAGAATGTGTGTTTATAACAATAACAAGTAAAGGTGTAATGGTTATCATAACCCTTAAAGAATGTGTGTTTATAACAAAAACAAGTAAAGTTGTGATAGTTATCATAACCTTTAAAGAATGTGTGTTTATAACAATGCCAAGTAAAGGTGTAATGGTTATGATAACCCTTTAAGAATGTGGGTTTATAACAATAACAAGTAAAGGTGTGGTGGTTATGATAACCCTTAAAGAATGTGAGTTTATAACAATAACAAGTAAAGTTGTGATAGTTATCATAACCTTTAAAGAATGAGTGTTTATAACAATAACAAGTAAAGTTCAGATAGTTATCATAACCTTTAAAGATTGTGTGTTTATAACAATAACAAGTAAAGTTGTGATATTTATCATAACCCTTAAAGAATGTGTGTTTATAACAAAAACAAGTAAAGTTGTGATAGTTACCATAACCTTTAAAGAATGTGTGTTTATAACAATACCAAGTAAAGGTGTAATGGTTATCATAACCCTTAAAGGAATGTGTGTTTATAACAATACCAAGTAAAGGTGTGATGGTTATGATAGCCCTTAAAGAATGTGTGTTTATAACAATAACAAGTAAAGGTGTAATGGTTATGATAACCCTTAAAGAATGTGTGTTTATAACAATAACAAGTAAAGGTGTAATGGTTATGATAACCCTTAAAGAATGTGTGTTTATAACAATAACAAGAAAAGTTGTGATATTTATCATAACCCTTAAAGAATGTGTGTTTATAACAATAACCAGTAAAGTTGTGATAGTTATCATAACCTTTAAAGAATGTGTGTTTATAACAATAACAAGTTAAGGTGTGGTGGTTATGATAACCCTTAAAGAATGTGTGTTTATAACAATACCAAGTAAAGGTGTGATGGTTATGATAACCCTTAAAGAATGTGTGTTTATAACAATACCAAGTAAAGGTGGAATGGTTATGATAACCCTTTAAGAATGTGTGTTTATAACAATACCAAGTAAAGGTGGAATGGTTATGATAACCCTTTAAGAATGTGTGTTTATAACAATAACAAGTAAAGGTGTAATGGTTATGATAACCCTTAAAGAATGTGTGTTTATAACAATAACAAGTAAAGTTGAGATAGTTATCATAACCCTTGAAGAATGTGTGTTTATAACAATATCAAGTTAAGGTGTGGTGGTTATGATTACCCTGAAAGAATGTGTGTTTATAACAATACCAAGTAAAGGTGTGATAGTTATCATAACCTTTAAAGAATGTGTGTTTATAACAATACCAAGAAAAGGTGTGATGGTTATGATAACCCTTAAAGAATGTGTGTTTCTAACAATAACAAGTTAAGGTGTGGTGGTTATGATAACCCTTTAAGAATGTGTGAATAACAAGTAAAGGTGTAATGGTTATGATAACCCTTTAATAATGTGTGTTTATAACAATAACAAGTAAAGGTGTGGTGGTTATGATAACCCTTAAGGAATGTGTGTTTATAACAATACCAAGTAAAGGGGTGATGGTTATGATAACCCTTAAAGAATGTGTGTTTATAACAATAACAAGTAAAGTTGAGATAGTTATCATAACCTTTAAAGAATGTGTGTTTATAACAATACCATGTTAAGGTGTGATGGTTATGTAGCAATACCAAGTTAAGGTGTGATGGTTATGATAACCCTTAAAGAATGTGTGTTTATAACAATAACAATGGGTCATTCTGAATTTGTAAATAAAGGTAATCAAGACAAAATAAGGGAGATAACTCATAAATCACTGATATAATGTTTAAGGTGTTTGTTAATGTTTTTTTTGTTTGTTTCTCTATTGTTTTGCTGTCCATTGACAATTTCTTTTGCGACATCTCCTTAAGTTTAGCAAATTACTTTGCATTATTTTGGAACAGGAATTTATCTTTTCATCTGTTTTGTGAATATGTTTAATGTCTCGAAATTGTTCTTGTTTCAGGAAGAGTTGTATAGTTACTGTAATCGGGTGAAGAGGACTATCTTGGAGGTAAAAACACATGCTAACTGGTTAGTTAAAGGACCTTTGTAGAGAGAATTCAGGGTTCGGGGCGTGACGCCATTTTTACAATGGAAGTTTTACACAGTCATGTATTTGCAACAAAATGTACATGTAGTGCATGTTTCTTTATTACTGTAATTCAAATTTATTTTAAACTTCCATCTCAATTGAGCCATCAATACAGACTTAAAATTAGCAATGAAAATAGCAGACACATTGCTCATGTTGCTGGAAATATCGCTGATGATCAACTTGAAGATGGAATAAATGTACTGTGAAACCTTAATATAATGCTAATTGATACCAAAGTTTTACTTTCTACGGAAACAAACCGACTGGTCCCCTTTGCCAAGCTATGACAGACTCAGCAGCTTGACAAATTAAAGGGACTCGTCGGTCTTAAAATGTTGTGACATGTTTAAAACATACATTGTTTGTGTAGAAAGTAAAACTTTGATATCACATATTTCCAAACTGATGAATCTTATTGAAGATAATTGTTTCATTTGCCACCCCCTATATCGACAACATATTTCAATGTCCATTTAAAACCCCCCAAAAAAAACACAATTCTATTATACATTTCTCTCGATCTATTACCAGACCCCTTTATAATGCTAAAATTTCTTGGTACAAAGGGTGGAGTTATAACAAGGTTTTACTGTATTGTCTATGTCTGTAATGTGTTTGTTGAACAGGTGCTACAGGATTTCCCCCACACCAGTGCCAACATTCCGTTTGAGTATCTGTTTGATGTGATTCCTCAGTTACAACCGAGAGCCTTTTCTATAGCGTCATCTCTACAGGTAAGAACATTTAGTGAAGTGGTACCATAAATCAGGTAATTGTTGTAGTAGTTCAATACAAGGTACTGTGTTAAATTGTAGAGAAATCACAAGTTGATAACAATGAGTGTACGCTTGTGTGTTTTCTGATATTGTTCTGACTGGTGTATTCCTCGTTCAAGGCACATCCTGAAGAGATCCAGGTTTTAATGGCTGTCGTTGAGTACCGGACCAAGATGTTCCGTCCCCGACGAGGTGTCTGTTCCACCTGGTTAGCTGGTCTAGATCCCAGGAAAGGTGTGCATGTACCTGTGTGGGTCAAACGGGGCACTATCACATTCCCTACTGACCCTGCAACACCTGTCATCATGGTGGGACCCGGTAAGAATCGACATTATTTATCATATCACTGTTTAGGATGAACAGATTTCTCAATTTGGATGTATGAGTTTATAGCTATGCAATAATATTTTGATTTTTTTTATAGCGTAGCCAGATTGACACTGATATTAAAGCATAGCAGAATTGACAGTGATTTTAATGCCAACATGTATATATTTAACAACTTGGTGTACATTCACTTTACTGGTGGTTTGTCTAAGGATGGTGAAAGAGTGCACATAGCACTAGTAATTGAAAGTAAATCTAATGAAAATTGCTACATAGTTCCTTTTTTGAATTTACAAGTAATTTTGTTCGTAATATTTTCTGTAACAAAAATAGCTATTAGAAAAAAAGTAGAAATTGTGAAATTCAGTTCCAATTGGTTCCTTTAAAATATGAAAAACTGAGAAACCAAATAGGCAAGATAAACTACAGAGTAAGATACATTTTACAGTAAGTAATCATTCTGGTTTCAGGGACAGGATGTGCCCCCTTCAGAAGCTTCATCCAGGAGAGAAGCAGTAAACAGATAGCAGGTAACAAGACTCCTTCACAAGTGTACCCACAGGTCCTAGGCTGACTTGTTGTCGTCAATTCCAGGCTTGTGTTTCTAATACAATTTTTTTCAATACAGTAAAATGTATGTGATTAATACATTATCTAGCCCAGCTCATTGTTAACTTAAGGCTTCAATAATTCTGGACTTGCAGAAATTGTCAAACTAAATTTTCTAAAGAAGGCTAGACCTTTCTAGTAAAATGATGTCTGCATAGAGCTCAAGTGTAATGCTGTTATGTCAAAGTTATACATATTTCAGTGAGGTGACACTTTAAAATTGGCCCTGATTGGCTCCATCATCTGTGGGCGCCATCTTTATATCTTGATGACCTTTATTGTTGCGAGGATGGAAAATCCTGATCAAACATGTTCTTACAGGCTGAATTAAATGAAAACATCCAGATTGTTTCGTCGATTTCATGATTTGGTATATGTTTTTAATGCTTTTACACACTTTGTATGTGACCACTTATACAGGTATTTGAAGTCACTGAGGTAAGAGGGGGGCTTATTTCCTCAATGAAAGTATTTAAGTACATATGTACTTGTTCTATGATTGACGTTTTTAGGTAACATCCTGTACTTTGGCTGTCGTAATCAAGAAAAGGACTTTTTCTGCGCGGACGAGTGGACGTCTTTGGTGGAGAGAGGTCTACTTACGCTGTACACGGCCTTTTCCAGAGATCAGGTCAGTGAGGACAGGGAACAGTGATGAGTGGGGGGAGGCTAGGGGTGTACTAGATTTAGATCTTTGTTAGATTGTACTTAACACCTAGAGCAGCATGCATACAGATCACTGGGTGGGATGAAAACTTATCCTGGGTAGATCTACTTTTATCTGACTGAGATTGTACTAAGCACCTAGAGCAGCATGCATACAGATCACTGGGATGAAAACATATCCTGGCTAGATCTACTTTTACCTGACAGAGATTGTACTAAGCACCTAGAGCAGCATGCATACAGATCACTGGGATGAAAACTTATCCTGGCTAGATGAATAACTAAGTTCTCAGATCATGCTCAGGACAATGCTGTCTATAAAAAAACACTCATTGTTGTATTTCAAACAGACACACTTATTTAAATTAAATACTGATAGGGAGATTGAAACACACCTCATAGCCTTCAACTTCAAACTGTACCTGTATATACAAATTGTAGGTACGGAGATAACGTTTGTTATTCTTGGCCGTGATAGATATATCAGTATAAAACACTTCACTCAGCAGGCGCGTAGCTAGCCCCTTTACCATGTGTAAGCCCCGACATGGGGTTGCCGAAGGCAGCCCCCCCCTCCCCCCCTCCCCCCC